AATACAGACTAACCCTGGCAACCTCTTAACAGTGATGAAGATATTGGGAGCCGGCTGCAGCTTCAGCATGGTGTAGTGGTTAAGAGCGCTGGACCCTAATCTGGAGAGCTGGGTTTGATTCCCCACTCCACCATATGAAGCCAGCTGGGTGACCTTGGCCCAGACACAGTTCTCTCAGAACTCTCTCAGCCCCACCTACCTCACAGGGTGCCTGGCCTTGAGGGCAATTTGACTGTTATGTGTGTACTGGTTGAGAGTTACCTCACCAATGGCATTTGAAGTGGCTTTGCAAACCATAGTTAAGACAGAACCAAGGTTACTCACTGCCATTCCTCAGGGGGCCTCCTGAAAGTCCCTTGTGACTACATATGCATGAAATGCCTTGAATCTGAATGAGCAAGTGATGCAACTGGATTCTTCAACCACTGCATGAACTGTCAGATGGATTCTGGCGCCATTGTCGGTCACTGAAAAAAACAGAGCTAATTAATGTGAAGTTGGTGCTAAACTCATTCATGAAAATCATCCTGTATGTGCAATGGGTTTTGACAACAAACAAGGTAAACAGAATAAGAAGCAAAAGGTGGGTGTGGCTGGATGACCACACTTCTGGTAAGACGGGGGTGTGGCCTAATGTGCTAATGAGCTGTGCTGTCATGCGTGTGGCCCAATATGCTAATGAGTTCCTGCTGTTGGGTGTGGCCTATTATGCTAATGAGCTCCTGCTGGGCTTTTTCTACAAAAAGAGCCCTGCTTGTGACTACATATGCATGCAATGCCTTGAATCTGAATGAGCAAGTGATGCAACTGGATTCTTCAACCACTGCATGAACTGTCAGAGGGATTCTGTCGCCATTGTCGGTCACTGGAAAAAAAATAACTAATTAATGTGAAGTTAGTGCTAAACCCATTCATGAAAATCATCCTGTATGTGCAGAGAAAGGGATCTTGAGGGTTTGAGGCTTATGGAGCAAAAATACCTAAGTGATCAAACTGGCCAATCAACAGACAGCAGATTCCGAATGGCCATCCTTGCTTTTGATTGTAGAAGCATTGTGTTATGACCCAAGCTCATTTCCCTTTGTTGAAGCAAAGAACTGTCCAGGGCTTTCCTTTTCAGCCAGTCTTGTGCTAACCTAGTGAGAAGTAGCTCTGTGAAACAATGACCTAATAGCTTTGGCGCAGAGTCTAAGCTAAGATTTGACAGGTCAGTGGCAAACATGTCAAAAGACTGATCTTGGAACATTAAAACAGAAATGAGTTTTGTCCATAATATAACATCGAGGAAATGAACAGCTTTGGAACATCTCTTAGTGCTTTTTAGTCATGGGGCTTGGAGAAGAATGAGACTCTAGAGCTTCACAAGGTGATGTTGGGCCAGTTGCTGTTTCTCAGCTTATTGTACCTCATAGGGCTGTTGTGGGGTATATAAGGAGCTTCCCTGCATGCATTAAGAACAAAATAAAATGTCATAAATGTAAACTGGGCTTGTAAACTGTGGATGGATCAGAGGAGATCAATGGAAGAAGCTAGGGTCAATAATTAATAGCAGTCAGTAATCACAGTAATTATTTATATTGCTTATTACTGTGAATTGCATTGGACAATGGAATTGAAAAGGTAGTAAAGCTGTCGTTTCAGCTGTAGGAATAAAATATATTCTGACCCCATTTTGTGATTAAAAGCCTAATAAGGATTGGAAGGATTTGCTACTGATCTTTAAGGAAGCACAAAAGTATTTACTGTTTCTGCCAACAGACTAATCTTCTGAAATTCTGTCCCGAAACTAGCTAACTTGGTTAAATGCTTAAGTATTACATGTCATTTGTGATCATAGTCAAAGGTTGGCACCAATGTGGATCATATGAAAGGCTTGTTTTGGCTTGAAGCCCAATTTTCAGGTGGATAATCAAAAAGGAGAAGTTGCCTTTGCATGTCAGTATTCATGGGACAATCTGTAACGATTGTCTGTAATGATTGTTCTTTTTAGTCATGGGCCTTGGAGAAGAATGAGACTCTGGAGCTTCACAGGGTGATGTTGGGCCAGTTGCTGTTTCTCAGCTTATTGTACCTCATAGGGCTGTTGTGGGGTATATAAGGAGCTTCCCTGCATGCATTAAGAACAAAATAAAATGTCATAAATGTAAACTGGGCTTGTAAACTGTGGATGGATCAGAGGAGATCAATGGAAGAAGCTAGGGTCAATAATTAATAGCAGTCAGTAATCACAGTAATTATTTATATTGCTTATTACTGTGAATTGCATTGGACAATGGAATTGAAAAGGTAGTAAAGCTGTCGTTTCAGCTGTAAGAATAAAATATATTCTGACCACATTTTGTGATTAAAAGCCTAATAAGGATTGGAAGGATTTGCTACTGATCTTTAAGGAGGCACAAAAATATTTACTGTTTCTGCCAACAGACTAATCTTCTGAAATTCTGTACTGAAACTAGCTAACTTGGTTAAATGCTTAAGTATTACGTACATGTCATTTGTGATCATAGTCAAAGGTTGGCAACAATGTGGATCATATGAAAGGCTTGTTTTGGCTTGAAGCCCAATTTTCAGGTGGATAATCAAAAAGGAGAAGTTGCCTTTGCATGTCAGTATTCATGGGACAATCTGTAACGATTGTCTGTAACGATTGTTCTTACTTTCAAATTCTGTTGATTAAAACTGTAGAGATTTGAACATGTGTTTAAGGTTGCCCTTAAAAGTCAGTAGAAATTGCAGCTGGAATTAGGCTAATTTCCTTGCAGTATATCATTCTAATTTCTTAACTTTAGCAAAATCATATCGATATATTTGCAACCGATCTCTAATAACTCCTCCAGGTTTTGCAGTTACAAACATATTTCGTGTCCAGTTTCCAGCTATAGATCCCCCCCCCCGTTTTTTTCCCTTTGTAATACATTTTTTGAGTTTTATTTTTTTAAGAAAAACTTTATTTAATTTAGGCATTGATTATTTCAAGTTATTAAATGTCTTTCAATGCAGATAAAAGTTGCCCTTTCAGTCCCTTTTTTAAAAGAAACAATCATTCCTTTCTCTCAGGGTGGGGCCATAAGATAAATGAGGGTTTTCTGGTGTCTATTTTAAGATGTTGTGCTGAATTTATTAATAGCAGCCACAGAAGCAGCTCATAATAAAGAAGCCATTGTGAAGCAGCATCGTGGTTAATGTGACTTTTATTTTGAAAACCTTTCATTTTTAGCCATGCCAAATTCCCTAAGGAATAAAAAGATCTGTAGCTTTACAATAAAATGGTGATTCTTCTTACCACATGGTATCTCAGTTTTATTGAGATGCTTCGGCTGATGACCTCATTTTATTCCCTGAAGTTCGGGAAGGAGTCCTGTCCCAGACATTATACTCAATAGACTAGAAAAAGAGACCAAAGCAACATTAGTAAGGCCTCCCTGCTTGGTTACCTGGAAGCAGTTGGTACTCACCACAGGTGACCAGATTAATGTCTGTTTATACCATCCAGTAAACTGTCAGCATTTCACTAATTTTTCTTTTTGATTATTTACAATACATTTAGAATGATAAATTCTTAGCAGTAATCTAGATTTTTCAAAGATACTAAATTATGCCATCTGAAGTACAATCTAGGAATTCAGGCTACAAAATATGTCAGGACGACCTGTGAATTACTGGAAATTACAAAACAGTTCTAAAAATGTAGTTTGCAGAAGCATATAAAATAAAATCAATCCAGGGAGATCACTCTCGCCCACATACGTTATTATTTTGTTCCAGAAATTGAAGATTTCATTTAGTTTGGCATTCCATTATTGATCCTCCTTCCTGTTTGTTTTTAGCTGTTGTTTTGTATATTATATGTGTACATATTGTTTTTAAAGTTGATTTTAATGTTTTTTAGTGTTTGGCGCTTTGAAAGCCCAAATTAGGTAGGAAAGCGGCTTTAAAATGTTTTAAATAAATAAAGTAAAATAAACCTAATCAGCAACTAATCAGATGATAGAATTAAAAGGAAAAAAAACTGCAGATCAAATGAATCATGCAGGATTGCAATAACCACTTAATGTGGGGTGGTGATTGGACATACTTAAAGTAGTTCTTTGAATCTCAGCCTTGGTGTCTAACAGTGCTGTGACAGCAACACAGTTCAGCAGCACAGCTTCTAAACCATATTTGTTAAAAGATAAGCTGACCTTAGCAAGTCATTACACCTTTATTTCAAATACATACAGAGCATGCCTGTTCTTCTGCTGTGCCTCACATTATAGTTCAGAAATATTTTTAAATGCCCAGGTGGAAAACTGAGTGGGTATATGGTTCTTAACAGAGCGAAATCCATCCACACTAAGTAATAAAACTTGCGCAGTTGCAAACAAAAATAAGTAATAACAATTAGCACAAATAGGTGTTGTTTAAAACGATGGTTTTACTGGAATTGAAATGTGGCTTCCCACTTATAATGTGACATTTGCATAGATCCGGTATAAGTAGCATTTCCTTTCTTTTGAAAATGAATTGACATTTACTACTTTTTCCTCTTGGTTTTCTTCACTAAAAAGAATTTATCTTCATAGGACTCCTTCAGTTTGGTGTAGTGGTTAAGTGTGCAGACTCTAATCTGGGAGAACCAGGTTTGATTCCCCACTCCTCCACTTGCACCTGCTGATGTGACCTTGGGTCAGTCACAAGCTCTGGCACAGCTGTCCTTGAAAAAGAGCAGTTTGTGTCAGAGTTCTCTCAGCCCCACCCACCTCACAGGGTGTCTGTTGTGGGGAGGAGAAGGGAGAGGAGTTTGTAAGCCGCTCTGAGACACCTTTGGGTAGTGAAGGGCGGGGTATAAATCCAGTCTCTTCTCTTCTTCTTCTTTTACCTCACAGGGTGTCTGTTGTGGGGAGGGGAAGGGAAAGGAGTTTGTAAGCCGCTCTGAGACACCTTTGGGTAGTGAAGGGTGGGGTATAAATCCAATCTCTTCTTCTTCTTCACTGATTTTTCTACCTCTGTTCTCCTTTTAGAAATCATCGAAAAGCTCTGAGGATGACATCGGGTTGAGAAAAGAGAGAGACCGATATTGTGCCAATTTCCTGGAGCCCGGCAGTGTGCGTGCAACAAAGGAAGGGAAAATGGAAATTGAAGCCCTCGCCTCAGAACATAAAGCCATCCCTGTGGGGAGTTCAGCCCATGCCGTAGACAATCAAACTCACTTACTCTCCCCTGCTGCCAGTCACAATGGACTTAAAGACAGACATGAATCCTTGGACAGTGAGGTGGCTAAAGAGATCAGATATCTGGATGAGGTGCTAGAAGCAAACTGCTGTGATTCTGCTGCCGATAATCCCTTTAATGGGATGACTTCTTCCTCCCCTGAGCCAAGTGCATCTATTGTCGTTGATGGCTGCGGTCCATCTGCTCACAATACTAAGGATTCCACATCGCCCAATGAAAGGGACGCCCTGGTGGTTGGTGAGCAGACACCTCCGGTTACTGAACACAGTGGGATAAATGTAGCATCTGAGAAGCTGAAACCAAATGGCCATTCTCTGGATGGATGGCAAGAGGAACACGGTGACAAACTGAAAGGGCCGGCGAGTCCAAGCTCTTCCACAAGCTCAAGGTCTTCCAAAGATGGAGAAACGACGTTAACTACCATTAAGAAAGAAGCTAAGTTTGAGCTTAGAGCATTTCATGAAGAGAAAAAGCCATCCAAACTGTTTGAGGAGGAGGACATGAAAGAGAAGTACAGAGTGCGCAAAGTGAGACCTTCTGAGGAGATGATAGAGCTGGAAAAAGAGAGGCGGGAGCTCATCAGGAGCCAAGCCGTCAAGAAGAACCCTGGCATAGCGGCCAAGTGGTGGAACCCACCCCAGGAGAAAACACTCGAGGAACAGCTAGATGATGAACACTTGGAATCTCACAAGAAGTATAAGGAACGCAAAGAAAAACAGCAGCCGCCGCCATCAACGGCGATGAAGCACGTTTCATATTCCTGTGCGCCGCCAGATCTGAGTGGCGTTAAAAAAGATGATATCGTGACAGAGCAAATAGATTTCTCAGCCGCACGGAAACAGTTTCAGTTAATGGGAACTCCAGGCCAACCAAATAGCACAGCTGCACCCAAAAGGTCAGGGACTCCCAAAATGTTCACTGTCCAACCCTTCTATAAACCAATCGGCCCATCCCAAATAGACCAGCGAACGCACCCTGTTACAAAGCCCGTGTCTCTGTGCAGTCAAACAGTACAGGTTGGCAGTAACGATGTAACTATTGTAAAAGCGGAGAGAGTCTCTTGCATCCTAGATGACAGCAGCGTAGGAATTCAGAACAGCTCTGCTGACCTAATGAGGACCTCCCCTTCTTCCACAAAGCCTGGCCAGACAGCAAAAGTATGGACGGATGATAGTGAATTCATGAGTGCAAAGGCAGTCTTTACGGTGGTGAAGGATGATGACCACAGCCTACTGGACCAGTTCTCCAGGTCTGCCAATGTGTCTTTCCCACCAGAGGAGCTGGACTCTGGTTTGGATGAGTTGTCGGTGAGATCTCAGGACACAACCGTTTTGGAAACGCTTTCCAATGACTTCAGCATGGACAACATCAGTGACAGCGGTGCCTCCAATGAGACGATGAGCGCCCTTCGAGAAAACTCACTCACAGATTTCTCCTTGCCCCAGACTCCTCAAGCTAACACGCCTTCCGAGTGTCAAGGGGAGGGTGTTTCCAAGTCACTGAGCGACCACGGTTTTTACTCTCCGTCTTCCCCGTCGCTTGACTCCATGCTCATCGATGAGCAGTTGGAATACCAGGCTGGTCTACTGGTTCAAAATGCCATTCAGCAAGCCATAGCTGAGCAGGCTGACAAAATGAGCTCCAAGCAAGCAAAAGATGCCACAGAGCAAAGAAACCACCAGGTTGAGAGGCGGGAGGCGGCAGATAGGACACCGTGCTCTGAGAAGCAGCCCAATCCAACGTTTCAGCCTCCTCAGGTGTCCTCTCCCATGCAAGAGAAAAGGGACACAGCCCCAAAGGCTTCAGCAGCTCAAGACTCAGTACTCAGGGAAAGGCAAGCTCCACAACCACCGCTTGCTGCTCATCCTCCCCAGCCGGTCACTGTGGAGGAAACCAAGCCAGAAGTCAGCTATTTCAGCAAGTATTCGGAAGCAGCCGAGCTACGGAGCACGGCTTCCATTCTGGCTCAGCAAGAGGCTGAGGTGACTGTAGGACCATTCAAACTAAGGTCAAAAAAGCAGAGGACTTTGTCCATGATAGAAGAAGAGATCCGAGCAGCCCAGCAAAGAGAGGAGGAACTCAAAAGGCAGAGGCAAGGGATGCCAGTGATGCAGAGTCCCTTCGCAAAGGGTGCCCCCACACCGGCCACCAGAACCGTGTCTTACAGAACTGCACCAGGTAAGAGTCCTGACCTTTTGCTTAGGCTTGTGCAGATTTGGGGACAACAGAGTGGGAGGAGTGTTGTGGGCGACAAATGTTTATCCTTATTCACAGGGGTCATTTCGTAGAAAAAGAGGTGCGGGAGCTCATTAGCATAACTCATTGGCATAACTCATTTGCATATGCCACACCCCCTGACATCACCGGAAGTGTGTCAGAAGGCAACACCCACCGCTCAGGCTCCACTGGAATGTTTTGGATTGCTAGCTATTGGGGGGGGGGACGCTCAGATCTGTCCTCGCAGAGGAGGGAGAGCTTGTACCTAAATAAAACTTGGTCTTAAAGGTGCCACTGGACTGTTTTGAACCGGGGGGGGGGCTCTGCAACTTACCTGGCTGCTTCTTGCTCTGACTGAGGGCTGCTGGGAGCAGGGGGTGGGGCTTGTTGCATGTGCCCGCCCCCTGGGCTCTTCACTGCCGGAGCTCTGCTCCTGTGCGCTCCTGCAGGAAATGACCCCTGCTTATTCAGAGTCCCTCTCAAAGAAAGTAAGAACTGCCTTGCTAGGTGAGAACAAAGGTCTGTATAAACCAGATTTATGTCTCTTTGCATTCCATTTCTGGCTTTTCTGCACACTGTCCCTCAATTTGGAACCTTCCCCATGTTTCAGGATAGCGAGCAAGGCCCTTGCACAGTGGGGCTTGTGGTTGGCAAGCGGTTCCCACCTTGAAACAGCTGCTGCTGAAGGAACAAGCATCCCTGAGGTTCAGGCCTCATGCCGGAGATTAAATTAAATGTGACTCTGGGTTGAAGGCTAATTGCAACTGTGGCTCTCCGCAAGCTGAATGAGTATCACTGGTCTAATCCAGACTTCTGAGCTGGGTCTCAGTTGGCCTAAGTCTGGCAACCATTAAAAGGCTTGCGGGGGGGGGGGCTTGCTGGTGATGTCATCATGACGTCACTGGCAATACAGAGATGCCACTTCCAGGTCACATTGGAATTGACCTCATTGCATAGAGGCGGTGCTCTAGCTTTGGCCCCAGCTGGGTGGTGGCAAGCGCACCTGGTGGGGGAATGGGAGACCTTCCAACAAAGCAGGAGACTCGGCCTCCCTAGCTGGGTCCCAGAGGCAGTGTGATCTTGCTTTATATAGCAATCTCCTTTGCTTCCCCCTGTGCTGTACCACACCCACCGGGTCTTTTCTGTGGGCTACTAGAAAAACCTCATCCTTTGCGGGGCAGTGAATTTGAGTGACGTTTCCGAAAGCCGAAAGCGAACAAGCAGCGCATGAAGGCAACATTGCCTCCCTTAGTGTGTGTCCTCTATCATGTAATAAAGGTACACTGTTTTTGAACACTGAGTTTCTATTTTATTACTGCATCCAATGCTGATTTATAAATCTTGCTTCTGTGGGTTTGTGTAATCGTATCTAATAGCAAAAGTGTGGCCCCCAGCTGTAGATATCTAAATCTGTGGGCCGCGCAGAAGGAAAACCCCAAGGTCACATCAGCAGGTGCAAGTGGAGGAGGAGTGGGGAATCAAACCCGGTCCTCCCAGATTAGAGTCCGCACACTTAACCACTACACCAAACTGGCACTACACCAAACTGGCTTCATTACAAGCACAGGCAAAGCAGCAGCAATGGCGTTGTGGGCTGGAAGCCGGCAGGTGCATGGAGAGAAGGAGGAACAGCTACCAGAAGAGAACCGTGCGCGTCATATGGAGCAGAGGTCCATCAGTGGCTATTAGCCACAAGGTATAGCTAGGGACTCTGGGGCAAGTGATGCTCTGTCTTCTTGGTGCTTGGGGGGGGTCAACAGTGGGAGGGGCTTCTAATGTCCTGGCCCCACTGGTGGACCTCCTGATGGCGCCTGGTATTTCTGGCCACTGTGTGACACAGAGTGTTGGACTGGATGGGCCTTTGGCCTGATCCAACATTGGGATTCTCTTATGTTCTTATGTTCTTATGTCATGAGAATTGTCCCCCAGCTGTGGGGCACCGCACTGACGATGCAGGGGAGGCGAGTGACCACCCACCAACAAGGTGGGAAGAGATGCAGCCGAGAACTGCGCTGATGATGGGGGAGGGAAGTGAGGCTGTTAGGCAGGTGGCTGGGAATCGAGGAGCAGAGAATTGTCGCCGGCAGCCAGGCCCACGTTTGTTCCCCTCTGGCAGTGGTGCTCCAGGTGGTGGTGGGGGAACGAATGTAGTCGGCAGCAGGCAGGGGAGCAAGAGAGAGAGAGAGAGAATGATGGGAGGGAATACAGAGAAAGAGAGAAACAAATGTGTGAGAGAGTGTGACGGGAACTTTGGAGGGAGGAAGAGAGAGCTGGAAAGAGCATTAATGACAGCGGTTGTTGGGAGGGAAAATAAGAGAAAGACTGAGGTGCACTGGAGGGGGGGAAGTAGAGTGACAGGAGGTGTTGTGGGAAGAGAGAACCAGAGAAGTAGTGATGGGGTGAGGGATGGTGAGAGAGAGACTTAGAGAGAGAGAGGAGGAGGAAGCAAAGGCAAGGGTAAATGGGATGGCTGCTCCCGCAAGTTTCTTGCAGGCCCCCACTTGCCATCTAAGCAAGGGCCCGTCACACATTTTGTGGCAGGGAATCCTGTATGTTAATATATGCATTGATTGGAGTATTTCCTGTTGCTTGTTTTCTGTTGGTCAGTTTCATTTGGTGACTCTTAGTACTAATGTTCTGAGAATGTGAAATAAATTTTCTTTATTTTATATACCACCGTACTTGCTACAGAAGATAAATAACATAGAGCGTTAGGGACAATTTATACAAAATGACAGGAAACTTCTTCTATGAAGGAAGGAAAGGAAGGGTTGGGAGGCCATTAATTGAAAGGGCAATGTCTCTTCATATGATAGTCACTCCTAATCATTAGTGACCAGGAACAAAGAGAACATTTGTTGATGTTATAAAAACCACAAAAAGGGAAACACAAGCTTGGAAACATAGCTCAGAATGGGTCCAAAAGACTTCACCCAAGCGCATTCCTATGGTAGAATCAATAGTTTGTCCATTTGGAAATGCAGTTATGGTTTCTTCTTCAAGGTGGAATCAACAGTTATCCTACTACCATGCAGGCGAAAAGCAACCATCCAAAACACCCTAAATAGAATACCTCATTTTCATCCTGCAGTTGACTAACATTAGAGCATCTTAAAGGTTGAGAATGGAGTCATGATTCCATATTTTAAGAATGTCGTGAAATGCACACATGATTTAGGATACTCTGCAAAGGCAGTCTTGCTATTTAAAATGTTCTAACAATGCTGAGATCACCGAACGCTGGTAAATACTAAAGGTACAATTAAAAGGAATGTTTGCACTATTTATTCATCAGGATTCATATTTATGGAACAAATTGAGAAAGTTAAGGCCAAAACACACTGCTTTGGTTAGGGAAACAAAAAGCCAGGTAGTACAGTAAATGTGAGGGAGATATGAGCAGAAAGGTAGTTTATGGGTTATTGGATGTTATCTCTGCAGTATAGTCCTTCCATGCTGTGTTCTTCATCCTTCATGCCTCTTCTGCTTATAACCAATTTGTCCAGCATCCTGTTTGCAGTAGGACAAAATGTTCACAGTCCTGGTGTAAAAATGGTGCTTGGCATGCAAGGAAACCATACCTGAATGATATCCTATGCAAAATTGCACAGGAGTCAAGTGGGACCTTAACAAAATACATGCCAGCAGGTAGTTTGTTAAAATTGTAATTCTGAATTGTTACTAAGAAAGTGATGACCTTTGGCTAATAATAAACTTGTACTCGTACTTGCCAGTATAATTTTTTCTTGCTTAACTCATGCAACTGGCCTCACTTTTAAACCAGGCTCTTCACCGCGAGATATAAAGCAACTCGGTTGAGCTAATGCTTCATGCATTGGTCTGGCAGGATGGTTTAAACGAGACACGTGCTTTTTGGAACACCATGCAGATAAATTTGTTTACTTAATAATTTTTTTACATGCTTAACATCTTATTTAAATGGAGCCAAGCTGCTTTCTCAGTCAAATTCCACCATCACCACCATGTATTTGGTTACAGCACTATGAGTGAAAGGGAAAGTTCTGAAACTTTGTTTTTGAGAAACCAAACTGAATCAGCATTAACTTTGAACTGGGCTACTAAGCCAATGTGCTTGTTGTCAACACTGCAGACATGGGGAACTGGGGAAAAACAAAAGCTATGCATGAAATCCTTTGTGGTCTAAGGCTTGACCATTGAATCTTTTGTTATATGTTGACTAGAGAAATAGCTTGTATTGCTCACTAGACAAATTTGTAGAAGAAGAGCATTATGTGCTTTTGCCAATTCTCTTGTGAGAATGCAGGTTTGATTAATTCAAATGAATGAGAGAAACACAGATACGATTCTGCATCTGTCTGGTACTTGGTTGAAGTAGGAAGGATTTATTTTCTTTTAATATCATTTGGTTTGTAGCAGAAAGATCTGAATTTGCATTAATTTTTAGAACATTTTGGCCATGTTCGTTTTGAAAGGTTTCTTGTTTTTACAAGCTAGATAAAGTGGATTTGCTACAGAACAAATATATATAAGAAATATTTGTTCTACAGAACAAATATAATAAATGTGTATAATGTGTGTATAATATAATAAACACACAGAGACACACACAAGTGAATAAACGTTATTAAGTTGTGAAAAGGAGCACTTAAACGCCTTCCATTACTCCAGACGTGTTGAAGCTAAGAGGAATATCAAGTGCTAAATCAGTTCTTCCAGTACAGCTGAGTCGAGTTCTGTCCTACATATTTTGTAATTCATTTCTGTTCATGAGCATTGAAAACACAGTGTGTGTAAAGTTTCCTCTTGCCATCTGTGCTGTTGCCTTTCCTCTTATTCCCACCACATGTGTTATGTTCCTGTCCAGAAGAATAAATGGCTAGCTGGGAGGCATAGACTGGTAGACACCTGATGTTTTAATTCAGATTTAAGAGGGTGGAAATGCCCTCCTCAGATCATAGTGACCAGAAACATAGCAATTT